CATTATCCGGGCAAAGTCTCGCAAAATATCCCTTTATTTTGTTTATGGAAACCCCCTGTGCAACGTGCTCTTACAATAACTTTACCTCATTCTAAAATGGCTTCTGAAACAAAGTGTAGGAAGGTATTTAGGATGGTAGGTATGTAGGAAGGTAGAACGTAAGAAGGTAACACTCGAGTACGCGACCAAATGTAAGAGAAAATAAACTTACACGATATACTAACTGTAACGATACCTAACCAGACGCTTTTCACCAGCCGAGAGTGAATCCCTTAAACCGTGACTTTTACACAGACAGACCGGCTTGGTCGATTCAAATATCTCTATCGCGTCGCGACGAACGTGCAGATATCTTGAATGAAAGTCGTTCGATTTCATTGACAGACCAGAATAGAGTCGCATGTTCTCTTGGATAAACGAGACTTCCAACACAGTAGAGTCTCTTCTTTAGCTGCTTGTTATTGTTTAGTATTTCAAGGAAACTTTATGTAAGCGTTTGAATTTTATAAGAAATCAACTGTTTGAAGGAAGTGGTAATTTTTGAGATTATATAGTAGCTTTCAAAGACTTTTAATTGTAAGGAATAATTTGTAGAAATTTCTATTGTATAATTAGTGCAAGTAACGAGGTAATGTTTTAAAAATATTTTTAAATATTTCGAAACGAGAATTTATAGAGGACATTTTATGTATGTTTTTCCTTAAGTCACTCTAATTATATTAAACTACGCAACTTGTATAGAAATGATAAGATAATATTTTTAAAATATATTTAAGTGTGAGTTTTTTAAACAATATTTCTCTGAACAATATTTCAGCCCACTGTTACACAAATATTTGTTAAACGAAATTACCGAACTGCCATCGGACATCGTGCAAATAATAAATGCATAGTGAATAATATTTCAATGTAGCAACAGATCTCGCTCCGTGTATCAAAACTGTTTTAAAAGTTGCCAGATCGACGTTCTACGTAATCCCTTAGCCGAACAGATGCTCTTAAAAATAGTGTAGAATCACGAAAAAAAAATATATAAAAAAAGAATTTCACGAGAACGGCAAACTTGTGACGAGATCGCGTTGCACCAAGTTCCTCCAAATTACTTGGAGGGCAAAGGAGAAATCGATTGAGAACAATTTGATCGTAATCCCTTGGGAAGGGAAGTTTTTTACCACGCGAACATTCACTTTACGGTACCTGATCATAATTGTGATTTCAGTGCAGCACGCACAAAAAAGGGGCTGCGATAGGAATTCTCTGCGACCCGCTATGCGCAGAGAGAGGGATTCACTCGCTCGCGTGCGAAACTCTTCACGCTGGCAAAGAAGCGGTGTTCTCGGCCCACTGGGAGACAACGCGACTTGTATTCAAGGCCTCGAGGTTCGTACCGTTTCAAAATATGAACCTCTCGAACGCCAAACTGATCGACTCCATTTTTTTTTTTTTTTTCTTATCAATCCCATTCCCTAATTTCGTTACATAAATACAATTTTCAAGGAACGAATGAACGAACTGCTCTCATAAATTCATCTATCGGAAGAGAGTGACAAAGCAAGTGTTGGCAAATTCTGGTGTGAATTTGAAAAATTTGTAGAATCGATCGATGACGGCTGAAACTACATAGATTCGTCTCGCTTTTATATCCGTTAAGATATAAATTCTCATAATTGAAAGTCCACGGTCCAGTTGATCAATCAGCTATTATACTGACTTAGTTGTCGACTAGCGATCGATGCGATCTCTGAAAGAATCAATTGGAGAAAGAGAAGCGCATCTGAAAGGGCAAACTCATTGCGATGATTGTGATTTCAGAACGAAGACCCCGGTGGAGCAGTTCGAGTCGTTGTTCTGGACGGACGCGTCCGGCACAAAGCACTTCCCGTCCGAGACAGACTTCAACACCATGATCAAAGATCTGGTCGTTAGCAAGCTGAACGTGACGCTGTCGCAGCATCAATTAGAGAGGCTCGCGCGACTTCGTACGCATCGTGTCGAGACCGAGCCCAGAAGGCGACAGCTCGAGATGGAAAATCTCTGGCCGCTGCTGCAGGAGAACGAGTACCTGATGAGCATACTGTACGAGGACAGAGACATTTTTCCACAGTTGATTGGCACATGCGGCACCTTCTACGCGGTCGAGTACGTACGGCCTATAGAAACACCCACGACAATCCTCGCGCTGTCCGATTCGAAGCCGGAATGGGCGAAACGATTGAAGCTGGCCGTGATGATTCTCGACCTGTTGGAAGAACTGGACACCAACTTCCCCGAACCGATCCATCTGTGCGACGTGAAGATAAACCATTTCGGTTTGCCTCTCGGCGGCCAGAAGCTCAAGTTCCTCGACCTGGACGCGGTGTTTCCTAAAACGATTATCAGCCGTATCACCTCGGACAGCAAGAGATGCGAAAAGCACGAGGACTGCGACTACTTCGACTGCAGGTCCTTCTGCTCGAAGAACAAACGATGCGAGTCGCCGGTCGCCAACAATAACTTGCAAGTAATTATTTTACGAATAATAATTAAGTTTGACTTGACAAACAGAACCGGAAGGAAACGTTATCGTTGAAAAATTAATTCGGCAAGATATTAAAAGGATTCTAGATTTTCGGTCAAATGAAATCCCTTGGGCAAAAAATATTTGCTTTTAAACGTTATCTGTCTGCATTTTTGTTATTCGAGAATAACGCATTTTTATGAGATATGATTAGAAATTGATTAAAAAGAGAAGATTATATGTGCGTCAAGAAGATTATACGTTGAATAGTATAAGGTTTCCTATGCGCAGCTCAAACTGGAAGATTTTCTATTTTTTGAGTAACTTTATCTCTAGATACAGCTACTTACGCGATATGTTAATATCATGAAACTACTTATACATAACATTATTGCTTTCGATATACATGTATAATAGAAATATTTTATCTTTATCCACCTACAGAAATGTAATTTTCTAATTATAAAAGTTCGAATTTTTTTTAAATCAACTATTTTGGCTGCTATGAGACATCCAATTATTTAGAAATTCCCCAGGTCATAGATTAATGGAGCCTGGTAATTAAGGTCAACGAGAAACTATCACTGCTGCCAAAAATATACACATAGCTTCGCGATGCACGTGCACATAAGAAAGATAAGAACGAAAAGATTGAAAACTCCTGATTTTTTTTTTTTTTTTTTATTACATTACCACGGTCATTATTAAATGTCGAAATAATAATTGATCAATAATTAAGTAATCTCGGACGATTTCGATCGATTCGTCGGATCGTTTTAAACCTAATTTAATGAAAGCAGATTCTCAGTATACGTGATTTCAATTTTTCAATTTCATGCTAATATCTTTTTTACGTACATCGAACTCACGTATACAAACTGTAGAATCTGTAACACTTAAAAATTGAAGATTGTGCTTTGCAAAACAATATACATACTTATGCATCGCAAATGATACTTGGCGAAGAGGCAAATTCAAACAAGCGCAATAACAAATTTCAGATTGTATGCGAGAAAATATTTCTCGGCTGGACTCTCTCAGGGACTATTATAATTCCTGGATTACTCATGTCGGAGCACACCACCAGCACACTGGCCGTATTATTACGACAATGCGCGAATCCAGCCGGTGACATCGAACATTTACCACGTGCTGCGGTACCGGATAATTTGAAAACACGACTGTACAACATGCTGCACGAAATGGAACAAGAAGTTGCTGCTTCCGTATAGAAAATGTTTCGAGAAGGACATTTACGAGAAGAATTCAAAGGATTCTCATCTATTCTCATGGGCAGATATTCTGAAAATTTCAGAAGTGTCGGATCGAACTGACGGAAGGGTGTTACGAGGCCTAATTGTTGTTGAAATTTGGGGGGATTTTATTACACGGCGATGTGCTAACGAAATGAAAACGAAGGAAATATCATCGATGAATTTC